CTTCTCTTCATTCTTTCCAACCTCAAGTCACTGGACAGAAACACTGACCCAACTGACAAACAGACATGCTTTCACATAAGCTCCTGCATTTTGTGTTCTGCATCTCAGAATTATATGGGGTTTGCTTGTCTTTCTTCTTAGATTCCATATAAAAATATTTTTCATTTGTGGTGACTGTTAACTTCCATTTTATTTTTTGCATACTCAGTGTTGGAAATATGACCCAGAAAGGCTATTGAAGAATAGGTGACCTAGGGAATGCTGCTACATTTATTTGTTTATCAAATACTGAACAGTAGCTTCTTAAATCAAGGTAACATGCTAGCTGCATGAATAATAATATAGTTTTCAGTGCCTTTAATTCCTACAAATCATGAAAAGCCTCTGGAAAACCCACAGATGGACCTGTGGTCCCTGGGGCGTGCGTCTGTTGGATTCACCAATCTTTCCTTGCTCATGCAGGCAAGGAAGTGCTGGGCATAAAGTAAGTGCTTGGAGACCTTCATGGAAAGAATTAATACTTTAAAATCAAGCACATTTTAGAGATACTTACAAAGCTTTGTAGACTTATATGTAATCACATTTATTGAGTGCAAACTGGTTACATGTGAACAGGCAAGACTGTGGGGATGCCTTTAAGAGATGTGGACTTAGGAATGGAGACAAGTGAGGAAATGCATAAGGCTCAGTTCCAATATCTATCAGAAAGTTATTTGTGGAAAGGGAGCTACTAGCTCTGATGTGTTTATTCAAAACAGGTGGAGTTAGATAAGGTAGGGTTTAAAGAATTAGATCTGAAGAGATAACTCAGTGGTTAAGAACACTTCCTACTCTTCCAGAGGACCCAAGTTCTGTTCACAATAGACTCATTGGGTGAATGAAAAGGATAAATTATCTACATTTATAAGTGGGATGATAGTCTTTCTTGAAAGAGACATAGTGGTAAAAGAGGTCACAGTCCATTCTAGTTAAAGATCAAGAAGAAGTTAAATGGCAAAAAGCTCTATTTTGCTGGTTATGGTGGCTGGACAATTTAAGTTAGAAATGCAGACTGGTGTCAAGATTGTAAAGGCATGTGAACACAGACGGAAAAAAATGGCCAGAGTAGATGCTAGGAATGAAGGATGGGGTGGAGTCATTAGCTCAGTCACAAAGAGGTTTCAGGATGAAGAGGAGCATATTAAGGAGAAATCCCCACCAAGTGTGAAGGACTTCAGAGAGTCCAGTAATGCTCAAGGGGAGACAAGAGTAAGGTTTTTTTTTTACTTTCTGAGAATTTAGGAGGCAAGATGAAGTCCATTCCTACGAAAATAGATTTTTAGTTAACACTAAAAGGTTTTATTTAAAATTGGTTCTGGAATAGTTTTGAGATGGGGAACTAAGTCTCACAAAGCATTCCCTCAGAAAGCCATTATCACCTAGTGGTTTATGTAAGGCTTTCATATTTTTGGTTTTGTCCCTGGTTAGTTTAGTGCTTTTCTTAAGCTCTTCATACAGGAAAAGGGTTAGCACTGCCTTTTGTTATGTTTCAGCTACATCAACCAATGTTCTTAGCTTTTGCCCTGGGAAGTCTTTTCTCTAGAGGGTCATTATTCACAGTTTTGGAGTCCCTTAATTCTTCCTCACAAGAATCACCATTGAGCTTGGTGTTTTCTAGTGAATGCTTTTATTTATAATGTAAAGTACATTGCCTTTAATCTGCACCTTGCATATTAATTCTACTGTCATTAACCATCACTATCAGGATTAGTGATGGTTTTGCATTGCACAGACTTAAACAATAAGGACTATTTTTTTTTCCTCCGAAGAGCTGGAGTGCTGCCACTGTCCACTAAACTCTCAGAGACTCTGCTCCTTCCTGTCATCTGCCACCAGGCACTCTGGAATAGGCCTTGTTTTCAAGTCTGAGATGATCCAGGTGACACCCCTCCATTGAAACAGCAGTAAGGCAAAATGCCGGGATTAGGGGTGAAGGAAACCTTTAAATTGTCTTGTAGGAAGGGTTCTGCATGCCTAGGAAGATTTGTCTGCCCGAACCGCACTGTGATTATTGAATCCATAAGCACTCCCTCTAGCCATAGCAGATGTAAGGGAATGAGCTAGTTATGAGAAGATTAGAACAGGTATCCTTGGAAATTAAACTTAAAAGGAGATGAGCAACAAATAGGGTATTTTGGATAACCACATTAGAGATCCAGAAAACCTTTGTTCAGAGACACTTCCACCTAAGTTTCCTGTCCAAATCTGTTTGTCCTCCTAAAATTAAGGTGACCACGATTCTGTCAGAAATCCTTCATGCCATTTATGGTTGAGGATCAAATATAATTGATGAATTCATCAGCATCTTGAAGACAGAATGAAGTACAAATAGAATGTTATCCTTTGAAGCGTTAAGGAAGCTGCTGAGTAGAAACTAAAAGTAAGTACTTAGGAAATATGTTGATATTTTCACATCTGGTTCACCTTTATTTGCTAATGAGAAGTATTAGCTGGTGGCTGCTTTGGAGGTGGCTCAGTGTGTAAAGTACTTGTCTGTAATCCCAGTGTCCCTATGGTAACATGGGAGGGAGACCAAATCCCTGGAGTCAGACACATGCAGCAGTGGACAACACGAAGACCTATCCCAAAACAAAATGGAGGCAAGGACAGATACCTAAGGTTGCTGACTGACCTCCACATGTGTGCGATTCTCTCTCTCTCTCTCTCTCTCTCTCTCTCTCTCTCTCATCTCATACACACACATGCAAAAGTAAGTATTAGCTATTAATGTTAAAGCACTCCATCAAACTCTTCAAGAGCATAATGCGTTTGGTTTCTCATTATTATGCCCACCTTACAGACAGGAAACTAAAGCAAGGAGGTTACAGGGAGCTCGAAGCCATGGAACTCTTGGTGGTTGTTTGGAAAGTATGCACTCTTCAAAACCATCTATATGTTAATGTGTTTTGCTGCTCCAACCTTCCTGTGCCGTACTTCTCCCTGCCCATTTGGTAAAGGCTAGATCTCTAAGCTCAGCGGGATCCTTGTTTATTTCTCCCCACAATGAATCTAACCGACCTTCTCCTCTGTGTGTCGACTCTGGTCTCAGTTACCATGAGAAACATTTTCTGAATACTCCAGCTCATATAGATTCTCTTTTACTTCTGAACTTCCATAACACACAAAGTAAATATAGATAAGCATACATTACACTTAATTATAGAAATAAATTATACACCGTATCAGGTTACTCCATATGTCGTAGCTTTCTCTCCCTAATTAGACTTTGTCTTGTATTTTTTCATAAGCAATTTTCGATGTACAAGGTCAATGGTAAGCACATAAGAAGAACTAAAACTAGTTTAGGTCAGCCAATAACTAATCCTTTGGCAACTATTACAATGTAATGTGACCCTTCTGTGATGAATGAGAAAACAGGTTCAAAGAGGCAAAGACAGTGCCTCTAGCCAGTGTGGACATCTAGTCAGTGTCAGCAATCAGGAATTCAGTCCTGCTGTGCCAAACTTGTAGTCTAAGGCTTGATTCTCTGCAACTCTCAATTGAACACTTGACTGAAATCCAAACACAGTGAATGTCCATGCTGTGTGCATAGCTTACTACCCAAGGTTGAGCAAAGCCAGGTGGAGGAAATTAGGTTAATTTATGTGTATCTACTAAAAATCGAGAGGAGCAGAACTGATGGGAATTTTATCTGTAGAGATGTTGGATGAGGACTTCTAAGTCAGGTCATTAAGGTGAGCTGCAGAGATATTCTCTTAGGCATGCCATCATGAGTTATTTAATTCCTGGCTGTGATGCCGTCTACAGAACTAGAGGGTGCTTTCCTCCCGTACGAAATGTAAATTTTTTCAGGGTGATATTTTTTGCTTATGCTTGTGTTGTACCCTCAAAAGTGCCCGAAACATTTCCAATGATATATAATTCATGAGAATACATTGTTAGAAGACACAGAAAATAATCTTTCTCTTCTCTGGTGTATGCATTGTTTTTCCTCAGAGTGGACACATTGACTGCTTAAGTATTTTGAGTTATATGAAACTCAAATATTTAAAGACCCTAAGAATTATCCCAGTTCATTTTATGTTGTGGCATTCAATTTGTCAACTTAATTTTAATGTTTTACATAGTATATTTTCCTTAGACATGAAGTATATCTATTGTGGCTCAAAGTATCTATAAACCACCTACCCGTTTAGCAACATCTTCATTTATATGCAAAAATTAAAAATACCAAGAGAAAAGTTTTGCCCGGGTGTTCCTGCCAGTTGTCCACGATGTTTGCCATCCCCACCTGTCTTCAAGATAATGCTCAGGATCCCAGTGATGAGACTGAAAACAAGTTCTGTCATATGTCTTGAGGAATCAGTTTTATTGTTACTTAGGAATAATAGCTATGTCCTAGTATTGAGAAATTTTGTTGCGAGGTATTTGTTTAAAAAAATCATATTAGCTGGGTATGGTGGCACATGCCTTTAATACCAGCACTCAGGAGGCAGAGCTAGGCAGGTCTCTGTGAGATGGAGGCCAGTCTTATTTACCGAATGAGTTTTAGGTCAGCTGGAGCTATAGGAAGATGGTCTCATAAAAACAACAACAAAATCATGCTTTGCTTTTTTGAGTATGTGTTCATTCTGAGGTACAGGGGTCCTAGACATTCGGATTCATGTAGGTCATTCAAGTCCTTCTAATGTGACATTCATTCCAGATGAGTTACATAGCTCACCTAGATTATGTGAGTAATCCATGGTGTTATAGAGATAGGAGAACCAGATAGTGTGGCTCCCTTGATAGCT